GGCGCCCCGCCACGCACCCCCGCTGCTTTGCAGGCGTGTGCGTGTCCGTGTGCGCGTTTGTGTGGCGGGGCTTCCCCGACCTTTCCCGTGCGCAGCGGCCCCCGCCATCCCCTCCTCCTCCTCCTCCTCCTCCTCCCCCGCTCTCTCCCCGCCTTCCGCCAGCGCCGGCTCGCCGCGAAGCTTTGCAGGGGGTTACTAGAGTTCAGAGGCGGCGGAGCTGCGCGGGGCCCGGGGAAGGATGCGAGGGGCTTTGCTGCGGCGCCGGGGATGAACGGCAGGGCTTCGGCGGGCAGGCGGCGGGCAGGAAATAAGTCGCCGGTTGGGGAGTGGGGGGGGGGGGTCGTAGAGTTCGCACGTCTGCATGTACGCGTACGTGTGCTCAGCCCGGCGGTGGAGCCTGACTCGGGCCCAGAGAAGGGAGTCGCTCGGTGCTGCAGTCGTGACCGAGGTGCTGCCTTCGCTGTGGAGGTTGCGGTGCTCCCCTCCCTCTCCGGGGACTGGCTTTGCCTCCTGGTGTCCGCAGCCGGCTGTAAATACCCCCTCAGCCTTTCTCTGGTGGCCAGACGCCGCACGCCTTTACGGGTGAGACGGAGAGCTGTGTGGTGTGCCTGGATTCAGGTGGGAAGAGGGGAGGCCCGGTTATTCCCTCCCGGAGACGGGCACTAAAGCATATGGTAATGCTTATGTAAGAAGCAGTCTCTCCGTAGCGTGAAGAACAGGGCTTTTTCTATCTTTCCTACTTATGTCATGTTAGTCGATTTTTTGAGACCTTCTGTAGCCTTTTAAAATAAGGTTTGTGATGAGAATTTTCAGGTTTTTTTTCTGTGATCGAGAGTAGTTCTGTGTACTAAGTGCACTTGTGACAGATGGTCGCTCTTGGAAGGATTCTTATCTTTTGGTTGCACTACCTTTTTGGGAGTGCGTGGGGGGGACCTGGTGCATGAATAATGCGATTGGGAGAATAAAGTGGAAAAAAGGTGAGTTGTTTTGTTTAATGCATGTAAGTGTCAGTAAACAAGGGAGAATAGTAGACATCATAGGCAAAAAATGCTTTTTGTTTACCAGTGAAAAAGATTTCTGTAACGTTTGACTCGTAAGCGTTAGGCATTTGTAATCGCATTCAAAATACTTTTTTTTTTAAGTCTGTAGGTGTTGCTGTATTCATTTCTTCTGCAATTTTTAGTACAAGAATTGCTGTTAACTTGTTTTGTGGAGTTGGGACTTGGATAGTTTTAGCTGTATTTGTGTTAGGGTTTTTTGTGTAATGTACCCCTAGAGATCAAACTTTGGGGGGGGAGAAGGAAATAGTTTTTAATTACTCTCTTTGATCACTTTTGTAGGTTAATGAAGGTAGATGGAAAAAAAATATTTTTTTAAGGTGAGAGCTGCTAAGCTATTGCACCCTGTAAGTTTGGTTTATCTGTAACCTTGGGTTATTTTTGCAGTTATCTTAAATAACGAGCTGCCTGTGTGTGAGAAACTATCTTTTTGTTTCTAGTTAGTTTTAATAACTGTGGTAATCAGCTGCTGTTTTTTGAGCCATAATGTCACGAAGGCATTTAATTAATTCCTAAACTCATTAGTATTAGGAAATAGATGTCTTTGTGACCACTATTACATGGAAGGATCATCAAAAATCTTAGAGAGCAACATGAAGCTGCTGTTTGTCCAAAACACAGGATTCGTTCACCTTGTATCAGTCTTATGAGGAGCTACTGATGTTACAGGAACCTAATTCTGATGGAGATATGAACTGAGCAACGCGCGTTGGAAGAAATACCGGGGAATTCCTTCCTTTGGAGATGATGGAAAGAGATTAGTATCTCACTCCAGTTCAGCAGCTGGAGTCCATGGTGCAGATGCAGAAAGGCATATTGTGCCAATCAGATGTGAACAGATGGGTGTGTCATGGAAAACTGTATAAGCCTGCTTAGTGTTTCATGCTGCACTCTAAAAAACTTGCTTGAAGCTGTTTGCTAAACTTGAGTTGGTTTCCTCCTCTTCATGCAGACATATGCGGATAGCTTCTCTTTCAGTCCTCTGGAACTCTGTATGTTTGTGTGGTGATTTACTCTCTTTCTGAATCCATTTTTAGCTCCAGATGCA